GCATAACTAATGCACACAGCATCCCTGTTATACACTCCAGTAGGTTATCCAATTAGGCAATATTCACCTAGCATTTAACTATACCTTCAGTGTGAATGAAATTTGTCTTTCATAAAAACTGAAGAGAAGTCATTTGAGCTGGGAATCACTGCTTCATTTAATAAGGTCCAGTCCATGATAATCTTTCTCTTAAACATTTCTTACCCATCCACTCTTTACTCTCCACCATCTATATTATTCGCTTTCTCTTTTTAAAAATATTTTAATTTTATGTTTTTATTTAAAACTAACTTACAAGGGAACTTGTTTGTAGATTACATTTACATGCATATTTATTTTGGTAGATTCTCCCAGCCCCTCTTCCTTCTCATCTCCCTACTCCTCACTGTACCCCTTTGATTTCAGTGATCCACCCTTCCACTTTGTTCTATTTTTCCTCACTTCCTTCCCTTAGAACTTCTCCCATACTGGCCTTTACCCATGTTTACTCCTGCCCAGGCACACCGATTTAGCAATGAGAAGCTATGATCTACATATGAGGAAGAACAAACAGTACTTGTCTCTCTGAGCATGGGTTACCTTACTTAATATAATATTTCCCAGTTCCATCTGTTTTCCTGAAATTTCCATAATTTTCTTTTAAGCTAGTTGGTTCGTAGATAAAGGAATCATTTGGATAAACCCATTTTGCACTTACTATTGAATGCTACAATCACTAAAATTTCTCAAGTGAAATTCATAATATTCAAAGGTCCACAGGGCCTTCCTGGAGAAATGCCAAGACTTAGGGCACACATAAAAACATTTCTGAAACCCTAAGTACACTTGGCTTTAACATGCCCAGACATAGTTATAGCTGTTTTTATTCTTCCTGGCTGTATTTCTTCCAGTTCCTCTTCCTTTCTCCTTCTGCCTTCCCCACCCAGACTTCACACCTGCCACAGAGCCTCCTCATGTCCCAGCAAAAGACAATGACTCAGAGAGTCTTGGGCTCCATACTGCTGACATTTGAGGACGGGTAATGCATTGCTGTAGGAGATGCCCCTGCTTTGCATTCATATATACTTAGTGATGCCACTGGCTTCCACTCAATAGATTTTAAGAAATATATACAGGCATTGCTAGATGCCTCATTTCGGGACTCAAAATCATCCTTAGTTAAGAATCATGACAATAGTTGAATCATCAATTCTTAGAGTACCATGCACACACCTGGTACACATGCATACATGCATGTGCTCATACATCTACATGAAAGGAAAACAAACTTCAAACAGAAGTTCCTTCCCGAGCTCTGACTTTTTTCTGGGTTCCGGTAAATTAATTCTAACTTGCAAGCTAGTTTCAGTTTACACCAAAACAATCCATCCCTTTTTCACTTCATGACTTGGGGTAAAAATGGACATTATTTCCAAAACAAGAGGAGGAGAGAAGGAGTTATCTTATGACAGATGGCCTCAGGAAGCATTGTTTATCAAATACAGTCTAATTTATTTATCAATTCCAGTTTATTTGCCAATCTGAAGAAGATCTGAACATGGACACAGTCTATTTGGCAGTTAGAAGTTATACCAGATGCCATTAGCTTGAAAGGGCTTTTTGTATTTTGGCACCAGAGATGTGTATGCCGGACCTTTCAGCAGATCATAAACAGCCAGCACATTCTTGTGTGACCCACGCTGCCTTGTTAGGTTAATGCAAGGTGTCATTTTCTGAGCCCCCACACTTTGCTGCCCGTTCATTGCAGCCTTGGATAAGGAAGACACGAAATCAAGGAAACAGGGAACTGTGTAGGCAGCGGCAGCTGCCATGTGGCTCACTAACAGGGCATCCTGGGCACATGTACATCTCTGAGGGTTTGTTTTGTTTTGTTGTTTGTTTTCCTGACTTAAAAAAAAGTCAACTAAAACCCCAGCTAGCCATCAGTAGACTGACAAAAATCTGCCAAGTTATTCTAACTTACTGGTGTTTATTCATTCCCCCTCGCATATATAATCAAGTTCATCAGAGAGGAGTTAAGACATTTTGCAGTCCTGTTTCCTAAAGCTTATCCTCCTACATCACCAACTCCCACTGAGACAGTCCAGTATCCTGATGTTACAGCTTCTGGGTCAGAAAACAAAATGTAGCATTAAATTTCCCCTCGGGTGGTCTTGTCATGTTCTACATAAAAGAGAGTGACACCAACACCTATGTGTTTTATCCGCACTTTGGGAAGAGGCAGAAGTCAGCAGACTGCTCAAGGGCACCTGGCACTCTTCCCTCTTCCTCGCTCTTCCAAGCAGTCTGTGCTTGGCTCTTAGGTGCCACCTTCTCCTCACCCAGCACTCTGAGGCTAGGGTGGGTTTCCATGGCTCTTTGTGACTGATCAGTCTCCCCAGTCGCATTCCGCCTGTGGCTGGTGAGGATGCACAGAACGGCAGTGAGGCCTCTTTATTATCTAAGCTCGTCCCAGATGATCTCCTCCAACCCAGCAAGTCCAAGCACCATTCATTTGCTCAAGACTTCCCCACATTTTTGATCTCCAAGGTGGGGATTTTGAGTAGGCTTTGCTATTCATATTTCCAGCTTAATACTGCTCACCAAAGTTCTTGGATTCTTACAGACTCATCAAGATCAGTACGGTCCTTCTAATGCATTGCTTCCCTGATAATCCCAATAAAGTGTGAAGGTTTATTTCCTGTAGCCCCTTGCCTCCACCTGCTCACCTTTGCTATTTGGGGGACCCCTCTTTGTGCTGGAGTAATTCTAGAATATTCTCTCTCTGTGCATAGCTCTCTGTCTCTCCCAGATGCACACATGTAAACACACACACACACACACACACACACACACACACACACACACACACACACACACGCGCGCGCGCGCGTGTAAAGAGAAGAGAAGATCCTGGACTTCTTTATTACCCAAAGGCCCCTGATTACTCTTTGTTCCTTCATTTCAGCATGATAAGGGGGAGGTTGGTGATGGTCTGATACTCATCCTTGATCACTATCCTTGTTATTCTGTATGCTCAACACACAAAAGCTTTTGATGTGACATTTATATCATGGCAATGTTGACACCAAAGTCTGAGTTGACTGTAAGTCATCAAAAAGTACAAAAATACTTTGGGAAAAAGTCATTAATATTTTCCATGTTGTCACTACTTAACAGGAAATGAGACAGATATCCCTATCATACTCTACAGTGTTACTTATCTCCTAATCTGGGTGGATACAAAGTGGCATAAAGAGTCATGATTAAAAAAGACACATGTTCAACAGTCTTCCATCAAAATGACAATAGCCTACATGACATTATCAGTACATGAGTTTCATAAAACTAGTTAGGATCAGTGCTTAAAGTATTTTGGCAAAATTGCAAGACTTCAAAATTTTCAGGAGGAAAAGTATAAACCTTTGTTAAAACAATAGATTTTCTTCAGTCTAATTCTCTATACCAACTGTTAGCTACCAGCTCCAGTCTATAAAAGCTGATAAATTTTCCTTTAAAATGTTGATATAAAGCATCCTAGAGTGATTCAGTGGTTTGTTATCTTTGGGTCACCTTAAGTGGCTTCACCTTTCAGTCACAGCCAGATGTGACTGAGTATTCTGGAATAGTAGAACATGTGAGAGACATAAACACAGAAATAAAAACACCAAGGTCATCCCTGTCTTTTAGTCTAAAGATAAACGCAATGCCTTGGCTGAGGGTATAGAGTAGATCTCAATAGGGAAAGACTGCTACTCAGGCCACAAATTTCAAGGTCTTCTTTAAACTGTAGTTGTTATTGTTTTTATAAAAGAGATGGCATACTGTAATTATTTGAGTACAGAAAAATAGACACTTAAATCCAAGTGAGCTAAACGGGGGCTTTCACAGCCATAGTATTTCATGACAATGGTCAGCAAAGGACTGTATACACATGGTGGTCTCATAGATTGTATCTCCTGGTGTCACTGGTGCCATCCTAGCTAAGCTTGTGTAAGTGCACTCTGTGGTAGCCACATAATTAAATGCATTTCTCCTGATGTGTCCTCATTATGTGACCAACTCAACATTTTAAGTCCCCTGTCATATGGAGACATAAGATGATCTACAGAGATTTTATCTGGAGAAGTTGTTGGAAAGTTATGGCTCTCATACAGCCTCCTAGCATGGAAGGGCCAATGGCTTCTAAGAAAAGCGGGGCAATCAGAGGGAATTGCAGGCTTGTCCTGCAATCTGGGTGAAAACTGTACATCAAACCTACACCATATCTGAGAAACTGGGTAGATAAAATGATGGGTAAGGAGATGTGGGCAGCACAAGAAGGTCAGAGAGCAGGGAAGAAACTGCACTTCCAAAGTGGGCCGAGGACAACTGAGGTTCTCCTGACGAGGGCAGGTAAGAGCCCAGAGATAAGAGCCTATCAGATTCCATCCAAAGGACAAGAATGGGAGAAGCCTGTTACATTAAAGAACTTTGGGGCAATACTATAGGAAGCAGGGTATTTCTTCTCTGGGTGTGAGGGAAGCCACCTGGAACCAGGATAGTATCTAGCCCAGGGGTGAAATTGTTAGACAAAGAACAAATCAGAAAGATCAGCAGACAAATGGAGCATAAACCATAACTGACTGATATGTAAAGCCCACCTTGATCTAGTGCTGTGCCTATGAGACCCAATATGCACGTTCTCTGCGGAGCTAGCTTGAGTTAAGATTTGCTGGTATGTATGTATGTATATATATATATATATATATATATATATATATATATATAAAATTTTAAATACTTCATTTTTTTTATCATTTTTTCCAAATTATCTGAGAGAGTGTCTACAGTCTAGATTTGTACTAGACTACAGTACAAAATCTGGAAAATGCAAAATAATCAGAATATCAACTTCATGGGGTTCTCTACGGATTAAGCCTATTCCAGGATAATATGTGGACTCTAAATTGTACATGCAGTGAAAGAGGGAATTCGACTATCTGGAAAAAAAGAAACAAGTAGAAGCAATTATGAGTTACCTGGTAATGAACTCTCTGTGACTCAGAAGAAACTGACTGCAAGTCCTAATGAAAAAAAAATGAGAGGAAAAAAATCCATACCTTACAGTTAGCTTGAACAGCTATTCCACATTTCTACCAACTGAACTCCCAATTCAACATCACCATGTTAATCTGAAAGGTTTCTTCATTCATCAAGGTTGGCCACTGAAGTTCATGCCAGAAACAATAATATCATACTAACTTTGATTGAGAGAAGATGGATCATTTGTGTTTTACAACTCAGGGGGTTTATAGGTTAGTGATATCCAACTGGTGGTTTTGTTATAATAAATGGCAATCTAGTTTCATTTGTATCTAAACTCTCTGGCTTATAGAGAAATCTTTTTGGGCAACCTTAAATGCCTAGAATTTATCTTGTTCTAAACATATATATTACCATATATTTACAAGATGCTTGGTAAACAGGAGTATTCATAAACATCAATCAAGAAAAAGCAACCACTGACCATGTCCATGTCCTCACGACAGGCAGGTTGACAGACGTGAAAGAAAATGGGCTTTTGCCAGCTGGTTCTGAAGCCAGCCTCCCCTTCATAAAGTTTGATAACTAAGTTGTCACCACTGTCATAAGCCTCAGGCAACTTGCTAATGAGTATGCTAATCCTCTGTACAGAGGATTGTCAGCAGTCCTGGGCACCTCTGTCCTTACACCTGCTTCCCAAAGGGTTTGTCATCTGGCTCCATGCCCACGTCACCTTTGAAACTTCTCTTTACTTATTGAGATCATTTTTTTTCCTACTAAATCTACTTCTAATTGAATATTAGTGCGATAAGCATGCCAATAACTTGGGTAAGTTGATTTTTGACAAAGTCAACTAATTAGGCATGTGTTTTGCCACTGGGGAGTAATGCTAAGTCACTTGAGCATTAAATGTTCTTTAAAATGAAAAAAGATATAGTATTAGTTATGAGTCACTTTTAAAGAAGATTTTATTTCATTTGTATTTACATGTATATATGTATGTCTTTGTGTGTATGCACACACATGTGTGCTCATGGAAATTAGAAAGGATATCAGATCTCTTGGATCTGGAGTTACAGGTGATTGAGAGCCATACCACATTGATGGTGGGATCTGAACACAGTCCTCTGGAAGAGCAGCAAAGGTTCTTAACTACTGAGTCAACTCCCCAGTCTATAAATCTCCACCCTGTTTTTACTAAGGTTTAATGTATAACAGTCCGCAGTAAAATGAAGTATTACTTTGAAAACTGAGAAACTATAGGTTCTTTAAATTTAGATTAGGACCCAAGTTGCATGCTAAATGTTCACAGATGTTTTATTCTTTAAGTAGTCACCCACACTAAAAATAGCTAAACAAAGCCACAACTATAAAATTTACTGACTTTCTAATTCACACTGGTGTTCAAATTTTGGCATTTACCCCTAAATATATTTTGGTCCATAATTATACCTATACCCTTAAGAATTTTAAGGATGAAATTAATTTTTAGAACCATGAGTATGTGCTTCCTACTCAAATTCATTTCTAGGGAAATATAACGTTCAAAGATAAGTGACCACAAGTTAGCAGGATTTAAAAACTATACATCAGCTTTATTTGTAATTCATTTAGGCTTATTTGGTCATGTATTATGTATTAAATGGAACAGAGATGCTCCTCTAGGAGAATCCTTTAAATCACCTATTAGTTTTCAAATACAACTATTTCAATTAGCACCACTTGAGGAAAGATAATCTAATGAGAATGGGAGTTCTTCATCTGGAAGCAATGATGGAGAGAAATGTTTATGCTTCTACCACTCCTGGGATGGAGGTAGCTGCCCACACCTACCTTCCATACCTACATATACACAATTTTGCCAAAACAACCAACAGTAATTGTAATGATGAGTTTGGGTCTCTTGACTTTGCTGGCTCAGGTCAAACTCATGAGAAGGTCATCTATGAGACTGATTCCTTCCTGTTTTTCAGTGGCAAGACCAGACTAAGGGAAAATTTACAGACCAACAAATAATCCATTTGGTTCTGGTATATTTCCATAGATAAGTTTCTTTTTCCTGTGAAAGAAGTTTCATTTGAAAAACAAAATCTGTCTCTGACAGAAATCTGTACTAGATTCAAAACATCAAGTAGCCTCAAATCTCTATGTTCTTTCACTATTTATTAGCTCTTTTGAAGTTTTCAATAGCTAAAAGTATAGAGCTATGTAGCCTGGGAAGAAGGCAGTATTTCCAAGCTAGATGATAGCCATGAATACATCCAGGCATCAGCACCTGTAGTTAATCATTCGGTCCTCTCACAGCAACTGGCAGAGGGAACCAACGGTAGAGTTGGGAGGGTATGCAGTCGACAGACAAGGCCATAGTGCCACTTCCTCATACATGTGTCATTTCAGAAATACACGCACACATGCATATACAAATATGTGTACAGAGTTGTAATTTCTTATTTGAGGGAAGATCTAAAGAGAATAAATAACAACTCACCTCCTGTAGGCGGTCTATGTACATACGGCAAGTCTCCAAATCACAGTCTCCACGAACAACTAGAATACCCAGAGGGATGGCTGAGGGAGAAGGAAAACAGAAAATCTAAAATAACATATCTGGTCTTTAGATTGACTTAAATATGTTTTTCATGGGTAGAAAGAATCTTACAGACATTATGGAAATCTGTATACAACCATGAACAGAAGTAAATATACACTCTATAAAACCCCCTTGGTGGGCTCCGGGAGCTTCTTCTCCTTCCCACCAGGTGTCATATATTTGCCCTGTTTGACTCATGTGGTCCCCGCCACCTGGCTTTTATCTCCATGGCCCTGATATGAAATATACTGTCTAATATCACAGTAACAATAGGACTGGAGAATTAGGCAGCTGCTCACTGCCAGCTGATAATAAATGCCCCGCATTTGCAACGGACAGCATGAAGGCACAGCCTGAGGAAGTAATTAATCATTCAGGATTCTGGACACTCACCCTTTCCCCTCCTGAACACACTAGCTTCATCTTTTGGCACATTTGCAATAGCTTGCTATTTCTAAAACGGAAGCTATTCAAATACTGCTGCTGCATGATGGGTAACAGCAGAATTAAATACCTAAAACTGAAGGAGGAGGGAGAGGAGGAGGGAGTAAGCAGGAGGACACAGGAAGAAAGGATCCTTGAAGATAAGTAGTCATAAACCAAAGTGATTTTAAAGCAATTCAGCATTAAGTATGGTACCGTCAAGACCTTGGGTAAGGTTAAGGAGAAGCCTAATTATCTACTTACTTAGATATTCTGTTTAGGTAACAAGATGTTACACTGGTTTTAGTGGGCAGACCTTCCTACTTCAAATATAAACATTGTGATTTCTGAAATATTGAAAAAAAATATTCCCCTTCCCAAAACAAAAAAAAAGTACACACTTCTTATTTTAAGGTACAGTTGCAATATTAGATCCATGACTTAGCACAAGCATGTCAAATCCATCAGAAAGGAAGTAGAAATCCACTATAGGAGTGTGGTGCTCACTGTTTTCAAGTCTTTCATGGATTAAATTTAGTTTTAAAGCTTAACAATAAACAAATAAAATTATAAAGCTGGGGGCTATAAAAAATTTAAAACAGGATAATATACATTTAAATGTATAAAAATGTCTTGAGTAACTCTCAAAGTAGTAAAGGAATAAATATATTAATTAATTAATGCTTATTAGTATGACATAATTTATACTAATGGTATTGTCTGAATCATACAAAGCCCCTTTGGTCTTTTATCTGGAAAAGCAGAGATGGTCCCAAGAAAAAGAAACAGCCCCCTTCTTCAACATTGTTCCCTGGATTGACTTCCACTAGGTAGAACAGATCAATACCACTTCTTCCTTCCTGAAGGTTCCTCAAGTCCTGCCTACATCAATCTTTGGAGCATGCATCTCCTTGTTGGACTCTGCAAGCCTGTGGGTATGAATCCTCTGGCATCAAGGACAAAGCCTTTTTCTCGTTACTCTCCACACATGGTAGAGAAATGGTAGGTACTTATAACGTGTGTGTAAAAGAAAGACAATGAGTTAGCACCCCTTCAAACATGAAAGAGAAAAGTGCGCCTTTACAACACACATTGTTTTTGAGGTTCTACAAAAGTAGAAGCGGAAAAATAAAGACCATGTGTGGGGTTCCAACTCACTTCTGGTTGTTCTTCAAGAAACTAAGTGAGGGGGTCAATAAGCAGAAGTTGAAGATGCCTCTGCGTGCAGTATGTTAGGGAGGATAACCTTGGATGACTACAGCTCCCTTCTTTTTGACAGTAAAGAGAAGCATTACGATGTTTTAGAGTGGTACCCAGGCATTGTGGAAAGGAATGGAAAGGAAGAACAAGCAGCTCTTTAGGCACTCCTGAAGGGGATCCTCCAGGTATCGTGTGCTCTAACACCAGCACAGCACAGGCTGAGTCACAAATTACAGCCCAGTCTGGGCGACACAGAAAATCCCAGTGTGAGCCACAGAGTGAGACGGCCTTAAAACAAGTAAGCAAACAAAGGAAGGAGACTGTCCCTCAGCTATACTATCAGATAAATCCAACTATGGTGACCCACCAAGCTAAGAGTTAAATAATGTTTTAATAGTTGGAGAATGGTGAGGAAAGCTACAGGTTTTGGCCTAGGCATAGAAGTGAGTCAAAAGTTGTGGAAACTGAATATAGCTGTAATTCAGGCAGTTTACATGGAAATCTTTCTGACATGCAAAATACTTGCTCTTAATTTCAAATCTGAAGAAGTAAAACTCAATCAATACTTATCTATTTTCTTATATTTGGAGATAAACTTCATAGAAATTAAGAATATGCCGTCCAATACCTCTGATCTCCTTCCATTGTCAATACCTGGAGTTACTCTTATCTGAATATAAACTAACCAATGTACCCTAATTATAGGTATTTTAAACTATAGTTAGATAATGAATGTTTATGGTTGAAAATCCACCAGGAACAACTAACTAGAAAAGCTGTTTTTCAAAGATGTGTAACTCATGTCCACTACATGGATAATCCACTGCTTTTGCCTACTGTTGAAATAGGTGACTAAAAATAACTGTGTTTGACTAAATGGTGCTTAGCTATTGGGGAAAAAGAAAGACAACCTCTCTCGCCACTTCACCGCATGGTTATGCTCAGTGGTCAGGTGCACTCTCAGAAGGTAGCAGTGTGCAGGAGGAAGGGTCCACAGCCACACATGGCCTCTACTCCCAGCACTGTTTGGGACTTGAGAACTGTTCAGCTTAGCTCTTTGTTCTTGCTTGGACATTACTCAATCCCTTTTAGCCTTGGCTTGAAAACTACTGTGTTTAGACAGGGTATTTGCAGAATTTTGTAATGATGAAATTTCACACTCTATTTAAAATTGGATTCAACCATCAATGTTGGTTCTTCTTCAGCACCTTTTGGGCATCTTCCATTAGAAAATGGCATCATTATACTACAAGGGTCAGCTAGTGTTAGAAGTTCCATGATTATACATCCTTGTTTAGGAAAAGGTCATTTCCACTCTTTCTGCAAATGAGAAAAAAAAAATAACTCTACTGCAAAAATGTCAAAGTCACCTTGATTCGAGGCGTATGTGATAAGAAGAAACCAGAAACTTGTGGGAAATGAACGCCTTCCTTTTGCATTATTGATAACCAGCTGCCAAACTTCATTTCAAAGTTTCTTCCATTTCAGTTAAGAATAGTAGAAGGAATGTCTCTGGCCTGAGTCTTAGTGTCCCTGCACCTGTTTGGATTCATCTCCTGATCATCTTGGAGACTCCACCTTCAGTAAGTGCCAGCGAACAGCGATTCTACATAATGGGATGTGTGTATATATATTCATTAGAATTTACGGTTTCTAACTAAACAAAAGAAAAAGGGAAAGCTGCCTTTTTGAATAAAATGACAGATTTAGCAAACTTCTCTTTCCTCAAAAATGTTACTGACTATGGTAAAAATGTAATTTTAAGTTAAAAAAAAATAGGATGTATCATCAAGGAGAATACAGAAACAAGAAGTGCAACAAAGATTAGTGACTGAGCCAGGGTCCCTCAGAGTCTATCCCTAAAAGTGTAAAATAGACACAAAACAGGAAAAATATGCAGAAACATGCAAGGATGGAATCCCATGGCATACCCTCCCTCATCACTCACAGGAGACAAATGCACCTGGAGGTAAATTTAAACAGGAATTCCAGCTCAACACATTCAAGAATAAAAGATTTCTCATAAATGGTTGGATCTCATTCAATCAACCATGATTTTTAGATTCTAAATAAAGTGTTGATAAGTTACTGCAACTTAATTATTGGAAAATTTCCTGATGAAAGAATTTTTAATTTTTTGTATATTTCCCTGCATTTAACTGTATCCTGAGTTTAATTCTTATTTTCATCTTGTTGTTTCATTAGTTTTCATTATGTAAATTAAATTTCCTAATAATTTTTGAAAGACTATCAAAGAGAACTAAAAGCACAGTAGAAAACAGAGAAAGAACTTCAAGTTTGGATGGAAGCTCATATCACAGAGGTAAACAGTATATATGAAAAACAAAACTTCTGCCTCCTGGGCATTCAAAAACTTTCATTCTTGCCTTTGGCTTTATCTGAAGCTATTTGAAATTAAACACGTGAATGCTTTGGGCCTCCAAACTTTCAGCATATTATGAAAGGATTTTCTCTATATCAAGAGACCCTATCTAAAGGGTTATGTCATAATGAAATCACAGTGTGAACACTAACAAGCCTAAAAATCTCTCAACTCCAAGAAGTTTAGAATTCTCTCTGAAAAAGGAGAGGGGAGGGGAGGGGAAAGAAAAGGAGGAGAAGGAAAGGGAGACTCCTCCAAGGACTTGCTCTGAGCACCTCCAGGGATGTTAGAAACCGAGTGGAATAGGGCCGTTGAAGTTGGAGGGCTGCGTGTTAGATAACTAGATCCCTATTACTCCCTCATGTTAGGCACAGTTACTATCTAGAAAATGGGTAATAACTGGAAATTTGCAGAGTACAGTGACCTGGAACTTCATCCCCTCATGGGGCTTGCCAAAATCTGGCACCAAGGGATCTACAGCCTTGGCATGAAGAACAATTCCTTTGAAATCTGATAAACCCATGGGGCAATATGTTAACATGGTGGCAGACCCACCCCTAGCACTTGTTAAGGTCCAAGGCAGGAACATCACACTTTAATTTCATATACCTCTACAGTCATAGTTTTAACATACAATTCCAAAATTGTGAGAGTAGGGGATACTTTCCTACTTTGTAAATAGAACTTTGCTGATGCCTGAAGGAGGTGTCAGAATTCTAGAGTACTGGACCAAAGCAGGGCAGGATGTCTGGGACCCAAAGTCAGAGACCTCTTCTCTTTCCATCACATGCTCTATTCAGAACACTAAGGCCCTCAACATGTGGATAAACCAGAACACACCTCAGGATTCTCCAAAGCTCATGCAAACAGTTCCCTGTACCAGGGCTTGCTTGCATCCATACTAAGTACTGTCCCTTCAAGACTAAATCAGAGGAAGAGGCCTGTAAACATCCAAAGAACAGGCTTAGGGCT